ACTGTGAACATAAAAATTTACGGGGACAGACAGTCTGCAATGTCAAGGTGAGGATTGCTTTAAGTATCCTGAGTACAAATGGTTCAGTCATTGATCCATAAGAAAAAGTATAACTTAATCCAACCCCTCCCCCAAAAGAGATTTTGGTTTCTAGCTTATTGGTGTGTGTGTGTGTGTGTGTGTGTGTGTGTGTGTGTGTGTTTATTTGTTTTTTTAATCAAACAGCCAGGAAATAAAACTTAATAGACCACACTAATTGTTTAAAAGGTTCCCCATCTCCTTCCTTATCGTAATTATTTCATTGAACTAGTACTATGGAGAGTTTTTAACTACTTAATGTTCTATCAGGCAAATGGTAATGTCCTCACAGAAAGAAGAAGATAACCAGGGCACTTTTATTGACTGCCACAGAGGCTCTTTGGAATGTGAAAGATTCTTAGTATTTTTGTGTGGAAATTGAACAGTGCCATTGTTAGTTTATGAGTAGAGATATCTGAAACTCCCTTTAAGCCAGTTTATAGTAATTACTAGGGGTTATTATTTATACCAGTATCTGAAATCGTCTGTTGTTCTTTTTTTCCCTAATTCTATAGCTTCTTCATAGGGTTCTGGTAGCTGAAGTAAATGCTCTTCAGGGTATGGCAGCCATAGGACAGAGACCACTACTAATGGAGGTAAGTTCTATTGAGTAGATTAGTTTTATTTTTTTAATTATTTAAATGACCTAAGTTACTTGTTACAAGACAAGACTGTAAATTGACTTATAATTTATCAATTAGTAAACTACTTAATTATTTGCTAGGTGCAGTGGATTACATCTTGTAATTGCAGCTACTCAGGAGGTTAAGGCAGCAGAATTGAAGTTCAAGACCACTTTCAGCAACTTAGGGAGATCCTGTCTCAAAATAAAGTAAAAAAGGACTCGGGATGTAGTTCAGAAGTAGATTGCTTGCATAGCACATGTTAAGACACTGGTATAATTCCAGTATCGCAAGACAAAACAAAACTCATTAAAAATTAAACCTTCATGGAATCTTTCACTTTTTAAGAAAAAATTTTTTAAGTTGTTGATGGACATTATTTTATTCATTTATTTATATTTGATACTGAGATTTGAACCTAGTTCCTCACACATGCTAGGCATGAGCTATGCCACTGAGCCACAACCCCAGCCTGAGTCTTTCACTTTTGATTTTGTAATTTTTATAAACTGAACTGAAGCTTAATGTCTGGTATATCACATAAATTTTCTGATATGCAAGTTAGGGATTCAGACTATTAGTGAGAGAGGAGAGTCATTTTTTCATTACAAGTGAGGGGAGTTAATGGGTAAGAGGTCAGATGGGAAGAATCTTATACATAGAAACACATCTGGCTAGGCCAAGTAGAAAGTCAGAAATAAAGACGTGTTAGGAAAACATGCATTTGAACTTGGTGTGTAAGCAATTCTAGGGCTCTAAACTAAATATAAAAAGACTATTGCAAGGAGAAAGATGGGGTTACAAAGTTTATTTCCATCTATACCACCTCTGTCCCTGCATCTTTCTCTCTCTCACCCTCTTCCCCCTGTATCCCTCTGTCTCACAAAGAACTTTATATGTTAATTTTCATAGCGTTGGCCACAAAAATAACATGAAAAGATATCTGCTGCCTGGTATGCATTGTGGGTTTTTGAATAAATGTTTTCTGAATAATTGACAGAAACCTATTAATAACAGACATTGTTTGCCTTTGTGTATTAACCTAGCATTTCAATTTCTGTGGCTTTAGGAAATCAGCACTATTCTTCAGTATGTGGTAGGAAGAAACAAATTACTGCAGTGTCTTCATGCAAAACGGCATGTGCTGGAGTCATGGAGGCAGCTGGTAGAAATTATACTGACAGCTTGTCCCCAGGACCTCATTCAGGCAGAGGATCGACAACTGATTATTCGTGATATTTTACAAGATGTACATGATAAGGTGACATGCTTCCTAAAATAGTTCATAAGGTTGAACAAATATATGCCATTTAAACAATATAGTTTGTCATCCTTATTTTCCATTTTAGATTGAAAGTAAAATAGAGTTGTATGATACCAGTCTCAAGGCTTTGCTTAAGAAAGGGATTAATTCTGTTAAGTAGGGGCTCCCAGCTACTATAGGTATATCAAAATTGTCTAGCGAGCTTTGTAAAAATATACATAGATAGATCACTCTCCACACCTACTGAATGAGACCCTAGTGGTGAGACCATTTCTGTGAATTTCAACAACAAATAAATTAAACATCCTTATGGAATGGAATTTTGATAGGAATCCCTTCTAGTTAAGAACGCCTGTTTCTCTGCATCATATTTAAATTTCTCCCTATATATTAGCTTTTTTCCCTTTGAATGTTACTTATATTCCATTTTTATATTGTTTTAGTAGTTGAAAAGTTAAATATATACAAACTTGTCAATGGTAGCTGAAAGCAGGATCCTCACTCTGTTTTGCCTTTGTACTTTAAGATACTGGATGACGAAGCCGCACAGGAATTAATGCCAGTTGTCGCTGGTGCTGTGTTCACCCTGACTGCTCACCTAAGCCAGTCGGTCCGCACAGAACAGAAGCAGCCATTGGTTTCAGGACCCAGAGAAGCCCATTATCCGTTAATGCTTGAAAGTTCTTTCTCCTCACCTCCTCCAGCAGAGAACCCATTGGTGGGTTTTGCTTCTATTGGAGATTCTTCACTTCACATCATATTGAAGAAACTGTTAGACTTCATTTTGAAGACAGGTTTTTTTAATTAAATTTTCTATAAATTATAACTTTTAATTTGTTTTAACTTTAATTGAAAAAATGGTTTTCAAATGCCTACATCTATTTGATCTTCCCAGGTGGTGGATTTCAACGAGTGAGGACTCACCTATATGGCTCTCTGCTTTATTACTTACAAATTGCCCAGAGACCAGATGAACCAGATACTTTAGAAGCAGGTAGAATTAGATCAATTCCTAATCTTATTCTGTTTTTAGAGATGATTACTTTAAAAAAGAAAATCACTTCTCCATCTTTTGGCTAAGCACACATATAATTAATGAATCTTAACATAATCATTAAAGACTAAAATCAAGGATACATATTCAGTTCATAAGAATTATGAAGATTAGCGCATGAATACTGTAAGGGAAAAAAATACCCTCAAATAAAGTGTAACTCTTCTCACTTACCTCTAGTTCTGTTGAGCAAAATATGTCATCCACAGAGTTGTACAGTGTCTCCCTTCCCTTTGCACAGTATATATTTAGTTGATGCTTTAAAAATGGCTTGTTAAAGGAAGTTATCAAGATGCCAGTTTAAAAACTGCTGCTATGTAGTTGTTGAAGAAAAATCACAAGGTTAATTTCATATGTAGGACATTGTTTTATTTGGTGTATTTACAAATGTTTTCTAAGGTTTGCATGAATCTTATATGAAATGTATGATCATACTATTAATTACCATTAAATATTTAAATCACCCTTATAATGGAAGTACTTTTTGTTTTTACTAAGTACTTCAACTAAAAATAATAAAGAATAAGAATGTGTTGGACATGGGGGCACATGCCTTTGGTCTCAGCTACTTGGGGAGACTAAAGTGAAAGGATCATCTAAGCCACCCATTGTGTTCAAGGTCAGCTTGGGCAACACAATGAGAACCTGTCTAAAAACAAACAAACAAAAAAACCCTATAATTTTGGAGGAAGATTTTTGTCTACATTATACCTGTTCCTTTCTAGCCAAATTTCTCAAAAATCTCAATAAAAGATAACAGGAGATTGGTTAACAGGATAAACAGAGGATATTGATTCTCTTGGAGTCTCAATATTTATTTTGATTTAAGTATGGTTTATTATTTTTGTGATACATTGTTATTTTAGTACACAAGCATGATATGTGCATGGTGTTTGTGAGGTTCACCTGGCTGGACTAATTGGTGGTCAGTGGTCCTTTGTGTACATGTAGTAATGGAAAGATTTTTTTGTTGTATATGAGTTATAATTACTTAGTTACTAAACTGAGTGTTTTTTTCTGTTTTAACTCTTTAGCAAAGAAAACTATGTGGGAAAGGCTGACAGCTCCTGAAGATGTATTTAGCAAATTACAACGAGAAAACATAGCCATCATTGAGAGTTATGGTGCTGCCCTTATGGAAGTGGTCTGTCGAGATGCTTGTGATGGTCATGAGATTGGAAGGGTAAATTAACTGTTAATATTGTTACTGAATAAGTATTTTTGACTTTCTGAATGTGTAAACTGAGTCAAGTTTTAAAACTTAATATTTATCAGATTGTGTACTTTTTATATATTTTTCTAGGTTTTCTATAATACATACAATTTTAGAATTATTTTTAAAAGATTTAAAAAACTACTTTAACAAGCAAATGTCTAGGTTCAGCTAAAATATATACATCATTTATTTATTTATTAGTTCTAATCAGTTACACACGATAATAGAAAATTCTTTGATTCATTGTGCACAAATGGAACAAATTTTTTTTACTTCTCTGGTTGTGTATGAAGTAGAGTCACACAATTAGTGTAGTCATATATATACCTAGGGTAATGATGTCTATCTCATTCCACCATCTTTCCTACCCTTTTGCCTCCTCCGTCCCCCTTTGCCCCACCCAAAGTTCCTCCACTTATCCCATGCACCTACCCCCTATGGATTATTAGCATCCACTTATTAGAGAACATTCGGCCCCTGGTTTTTTGAGATTGACTTATTTCACTTAGCATGATATTCTCCAACTCCATCTATTTACCTGCAAATGCCATAATTTTGTTCTCTTTTAATGCTGAGTAATATTCCATCGTGTATATATACCAACAGTTTCTTTATCCATTCATCTGTTGAAGGACAGCTAAAATATATTTATGCCATTATGTTAATGTGTTAGATTTTGTTCAAAAATTTAACTTTCATCCTGAAAGTTTGTCTTTTATTAATAAATTGAGATTCTGTATACATATAGTTTCAACTTCTCAAGAAAACAATATAAGAAAATTTTATTGCAAGTAACCTTCTTATGAGAAAAGTTTGTAACTATTTTCAAAAAAGGCAATTATTCTTATTGATTTTGGTAGCCATCAGCATGTTTGGACTTTGTTTCATTCTTCCTTTAGATGCTGGCCCTGGCTCTCCTTGATCGGATTGTCTCTGTGGATAAGCAGCAGCAGTGGCTTTTGTATCTTTCTAACAGTGGCTATTTGAAGGTCCTTGTGGATAGCTTGGTAGAAGATGACCGTACTTTGCAGAGCTTACTCACTCCACAGCCTCCTCTTTTAAAGGCCCTTTATACTTATGAATCTAAAATGGTAAGGTTTCATTCATATTTACTTTTAGGTCAGCAGTTCATTTACTCTGGGGCTGCAGATGTATGAAGGAAAATTAATGTGGCATACATTTATCATATAAGCTATAATCATTTTTAAGGAGTTTTAAATGGGGTTTGTGTGCTAATAATCATCTTCTGAATATGCAGAAGACAGGATGAAGTGATCCTTAGAGGGTTAGTTGAAAAATGGACTGCTGCTAACTTATTCAGCTTGCCAGTGTTGGTCAAATGACACCAGGTATTCCTTGAGGAGAAAGCAACAAAGTTAAAACTGTATTAGTTGACTTTTGGAAATTCCGTTGTACTGATTCAGTATATACTTCATCATTTTCTAGTTCTCAAATCTGTTTTAGAAGCAGTAATGTCTTAGATTCTTCATTAATTCTTTTCTCCTTCAATTATTCAACAGGTATTTATTAAATACCTACTATACCCAGGTGCATGATATTAAGTATTAGAAACAACTTAGTATTGGTAAAACAAACTTCCCTACCCTCCATAAGACTACATGATAATGACAGAAACTACAGTGTAATTGAATATTTAAATCATTCAAAGTACCATATGCAAGCCCCTTAGATATGTTGTACCATTGAGTCCTCAAAAAACCTATGAGAAAGGAGGTTATTATATACCCTTGCAACTGCTCAGAATGTCTTGTCTTCAGTGGTGACTAAAGATGAGAAATGTGTCAGGAGTGTCTCATTTTTATATAAGGTCCTTGGACATGATTTCAACAGTGGTAATTTTCCTTCCGAAACTTTGTAGGCATTTCTCACAAGAGTGGCTAAGATACAGCAGGGTGCTTTAGAGCTTCTAAGATCTGGGGTGATTGTGAGACTAGCACAATGTCAAGTCTATGACATGCGCCCAGAAATGGACCCACAGGGGTAAGTGTCCACAACTAAGTTGATTAGGCTCCTAGTAAAGGATAATTATGGCTCACCTGCATTACTATATTACCTACAGGAAAAAATTATTTTGTTATTACTTTCTAAACTTTTAAATATGAGAATTATTATTTTCACATTACCTAAAGGGGGATGCAATTCATGTCCTGTCATTATCACTTATCTTTGCAAAGTCTCTTATTTATTAACTTTTATTTCCACGTCCTGTTTCAATTCCCTTTCAATAGGCAACCATTTTCATTTGTCTAAAAATTTAAACATTTATAATAAAAGAAAATTTATTATCACAGTATTCTGAGGCCTAATTTTAAAGATTAAGTGATTTTTTTTAAAACCTCATTTTAACTTATTTTAATCTTGTTTTATATTATGTAATGAACAATGTAGATTCGTTTTTGGCTCAAATATAAGAGAGGGAAATAACTTTTTGGTTTCTTATTTTTGCGCTTTGTTTTTATTTTTATTTTTTTGCAGTGCTGGGAATTGAACCTAGGGCCTCACCTGTATTAGGCAAATGCTGTACCTCTGAGTGATACCTCTTACTGCATGATCAATAACCTTTGTTTTTATCTATTTCTTAGAGTCTCTGTGGCCCAGGGGAACATTAGGAGATGTTTGGGGCATTACATTTCCAAATTTTACAAATTTTCCTTAGTAAGATTTTTCAAATTTCAACTAACTCCATTTTTAGTAAGCTGTAAGTTTAGGTAAAAACACTTGTTTGTTTCACTGATATGTATATGGGATATAGAGTATTTACTGGTAGCTTCACATCTTAAGTCAACTGGCTATGTAAATAGTAAGAAATTGTTAAGATCTGACGTTAATTCTTGGAATATTACCCTCTCCTTTTCATTTTGGTTGAAATGAATCAAGCATGTTTGGCATCAGAGACCCTCCAATGTTCATCCCCACGCCAGTGGATCGCTACCGGCAGATTCTCCTTCCAGCTCTCCAGCTGTGCCAGGTCATCCTCACATCCAGTATGGCCCAGCACTTGCAGGCAGCAGGGCAGGTAAGATGAATTTATGCTTAGAGATTATCTAGTACAAAATCCTCCTTTTACAAATGCAGAAACATTGCATAGGAAGCCGGATGGGTTGACCTCAGTCCTATTTGTGGCACAGCTACCTAAAGAAAACAGGCTCCCTTATACTTTGCCCTGAATTACATTGGTTTGTTTTATATTCTTGTTTGAATGAAATACTCAAGCAAATTAATAGACTAGTGCAATGGAAAGTAAAAGGTCAGAATTTGTTCCTCTAAAAAATAGTTACTATGCTGGTCATGGTGGTGCATGCCTGTAATCCTAGCAGCTAGGGAGGCTGAGGCAGGAGGATCACAAGTTCAAAGTCAGCTTCAGCAAAAGTAAGGCATTTAGCAACTCTTAATAAAATGCAGAATTGGTCTGGGGATGTGGCTTAGTGGTCAGGTGCCCCTGAGTTCAATCCCCATAGCAAAAAAAGAAAATAGTTACTATGATAAAAATAAGCTGGTTTTTAAGGTGTAATTTAACTAGATATTTGTTTAGAGAAGAATATGCACAGAAAATATATTAAAAATAGCACCATATTTATATGCAATGTTTACAGAATGAAATAATTTAAATAAATCAATTTCTTTAGGGCTGGGGTTGTGGCTCAGTGGTAGAGCACTTGCCTAGCATGTGTGAGGCCCTGGGTTCAATCCTTAGCACCACATATGAATAAATAAAATAAAGGTATTGTGTCCATCTACAACTAGAAATTTTTTTTTTAAATTGTCTTTAACACCATAATTAGTTTTATTTTCATTCAAACATTTATTTCTGTTTCTTTAAATTAATAATACATAAATTAATTCTCACTGTTTAATTAGGCCTATCATGATTCTGTAGTCTTCTGTTATATTGCTTTAGTATATTTGATACCTTTAGGAACTCTTCTGAAGTGCTTTGAATTCTGGTAATTTTATCTGCTTTCTTGCCATTAGGCTCAGGCTTGTCTCACCAGGATAGATGCTGCTATTTCTAAAATGATAACCCTATTTTACACTGTAGTAGTCTAGGTGACATCCTACTGCCCTTTCTACACATGGCCATTGAGTTAGTTCTTTTCTTGTTGTCTTTATGGAAATTTAAGATTTTATAGTAGCAGTGGGACATAGACGTAAGACGTTGGTTCCCTAATACCAGTCTTGTATTGAGTGAAGTAGAATCACTAGAGCTTCTTCAGCAAGTACAGATTACTGATTCACATTTAGTGGTGGGCGACACTAAGGATTTGTATTAAAAGCTAAAAGCTGGCACAGTTCCTGAGTGATTGAGATATTTAGCATGTTTTGGTTTAGTCTCTGCCTTCAAGGCGTTTATAATCTAGTTGAGATAATCATATGAAAGTGCTGAGAGAATCTTCCATGATGGCAGATTAAAATAAAATAAAAGGTCAAGGTGGAAAGGCAGAGTTTTGATCTCCTTTATTCTACATCAGAAAGCTTTACTTGATTGTTCCCATGTCATGGTAGTCAGACTTTTCATATTGCAACTTCTCAAATTCACTAACCATATTATACTCATTAATTTAAAATTCTTATTCTAATTCCATTTAAACAAATAAATAATATAAGGGCCAATTAATAGTTCTCACATATTAGTACCAGGTTATACTCTAGTCTTCTGAAATAGCTTCTAATGTTAATTTACAGACTTAGAAATAGTTCTTACCTTTAACTTAGTTTTAGTTAAATGTTTGCTTCTGGAAGATTAAATGTAAACTTGAATTTAGTTAAATGTTTGCTTCTTGAAGATATAAAATACATAAGTGCAGAAAACAATTGCTTCTCTTATTCTTCCTCATTACATTGAATTACTTGCTTCAACATTATTAAAAAGATGAATTACACATTTATAACATACTTCTTACTCTTCTTCCTGTTTCTCCGTGTCACCTATTCCATGGCTCAGGTGTTGCAGTTTCTCATTTCGCATTCAGATACCATACAAGCAATCCTCCGCTGTCAGGATGTTAGTGCTGGCTCTTTGCAGGAATTGGCTCTGCTGACAGGAATTATAAGTAAAGCAGCACTGCCTGGTGAGTTGATTGTATTGAGTGGACTTTTAATTTTTCTTTACAGATTGATATATGCTTAATGAAATCAGTTTTTTGTTATCTGGCAGCGGTGTATGATTTATTTGAAATTGGTACCACTAACATGCCTTTTTAAGTAATATGTTATAGAAATGATATACACTCATTATTTAAAAAATTTAAAAGTTCAAGGACATAATTAATAACATTTAAAATCTCATTATTTAGATGGGCATGATGGCACATGCCTATATTCCCAGCAGCTCAGGAGGCTGAGGCAAAAGGATCAAGAGTTTAAAGCCAGCCTTAGCAACTTAGTCTCTCTAAATAAAATACAGAATAAGACTGGGGATGTGGTTCAGTTGTTGAGTGCCCCTGAGTTCAATCCCTGATGTATTTATACACACACACACACACACACACACACACACACAAACCTGACCCAAAAAACAAAAAATCTCATTACCTATAAATTGCCAGATGTTAACATTTGATGAATAGGTTCAAACATTGTACTGTGTATGATAACTGAGAGAAAGAGGGAGAGAGAGAGAAATGGACACATGCAAAGGTGATTACTTTTTCACATGCTGTTTTAGAAAACACTTAATTTTATACAAATTTGACAGATTAAAAAAAAACTCAATGAAAAGAAATAAAAGAGATTGCTAAATTCTAAAAAAAAAGTTTCTTCACTACAGTAGTATAGAGATATAAGCTCTTAAAAGGTCAGTATGTTATGAGAAATTATGGAAAATAATTAAAATTTTTTGTCACTTTTTCCTCCAATATAATTCTTTTACTTACATGTAAATTTTAGAATCAATTAACTCCCAGATGTGAAAGATGAAGTGATGTGTTCTTTAACACTTCCTCTTCTACCTTCAATTTATGTTTGCATGTTATCTTTACTTTGTCAGGTTTTATAACATTTACAGTCAGACTTTAAATCACAGTACCTTTAGTTGTTTATTTTTCTTTGTATATTTACATGGATTCACTGCAAAACACCATTTTTTTCTTCTCCATCCCTTTTCTTTTTAGGGGGTTGTGTCTTGATATTTTTAATTTTTACTATAGATCCCTTCCCTCCAGGAAAAAAAATAACATTCTCCAAATTGCTAATTGTTAAGAAAGTTTAAAGGCTGTCTTTGTTTTGGAATGGCAGCTTGACCAACTATAATTGTCTTTTTTCCTTCAGAACATGTAGTATCAGTGATAACACTTGAATATTTATTAAGCATTTATATGCCAGACAATGTTAAAATCACTTAATTGGTTTGAGGACACAACAGTCTTATGTAGTAAAACTGTTATCCACATTTTACAGGCACAGAAAGGTTAACTTGTCCTAAGTCATATAGATAACACTGGTAGTGTAGTTTCCTAGACAGTGTGACTTCTGTTTCTGTATGCTTAACTATAAGCTATCTCCATTTTTTTGTTGCTCTGGAGAAGTCTTAGATAATCAGATTTCACCCACCATCCCCAAGGTCTTTTCTTCTCTGAAGATGCCTGAGTAGCTGAACAGTCTGGGTAGGGAGAAGTTGAGATTTGGGAAGAGCTGTGAGCATGCCTGTTGAGGTACTTGGAGCCTGTCCCCTTCCTGAAGAGATCTCAGGGTCCTCTCTACCCAACCTGTGGTATGTCTAAGTTTCCAACTCAGTCCAGCGGTCTGTAATGAGACTGAGCCAGGCCTGCCTTTATTGCCTCTACAGAGGTCCCAGTAGTGCCATGAAGTAGTTCTCCTAGTGATTTTTTTCCTTTGAGTTCTCTAAGACTTAATTAATTACTCTCAATATGCTTGTCTGTAAATTGCGAGGTCTCCGAGAGCATTTGTTGGTTTATCGTCTTTCCTCTATGTTACTTCTGAGGGATAGATAAGAATCATGAGTATGAGTTTAATACTGCTCAGTCCACCAGAAATTTGTTTCTTTTTCTGTCAGCCACCACCATCACTCAGTATTTATAGTATAAGTTGACCCCTTTCCTTTTTTAGTGAAACTTCTTTCTGTGTCTAAAGACTTTAATTTAAAAGTAGTTAATGGGCTGGGGCTGTAGCTCAGTGGAAGAGCACTTGACTAGCTTGCGTGAGGCACTGGGTTTGATCCTCAGCACCACATAAAATTAAACAAATAAAATAAAGGCATTCTGTCCATTTACAACTACAAAAATTAAAATAAAAAGTAGTTAACAATGTTGAGTTTAGGAAGTAATTTTAACTTTTATGGTTATAACTAAAACATTTTTCTTGAAATTTTTTAGTGTCTTTTTTTGAAATCACTAATCTAAATTTTATATTGTATATAAATGCAGATGTGCTGCTGCAGTGTTATTAATATATAAAACTCACTTAGTCTTTGTAGAATCATATTTCTCAAAACTTTCATGGCAAAAACACAAAACAATGTAAATCTCAGAACCTCTTTTACTATTTCTTAGTTTTTATTTTAGTATAGAACTGTATTTAAAAGTATTCCAAATTTTGTAGGTATATTAAGTGAACTTGACGTTGATGTAAATGAAGGATCTCTAATGGAGCTACAGGGACATATTGGAAGATTCCAGGTAACTGATTCTATTTCTAAATAGCAGTTTAAAATGTGTTACAAAACATAAAAGTTGTCTGGCCCATGAAGAATCTTCAGCAATGAAGAATCATTGCTTCCTAGATTGGGCAACTCCTTTCATCTGTTTTAATTGATTCTTTATTATCTCTGAATAACATGCTTATATTGCTGGTACCTGATTTCCCATTTTGGAAATCAGCTTTGGCTTTTCATTAAAGATGAGAATTTAGATCTTGTTAGTTCTTTTGTTCCACCATACAATTTGCATATTTCTCATCGCACCACACCAAAAGTCACTATAATCACATCATAATTTTGGTTATATTAATATTTAATGTTACATTATTATAACCTTGTAAATGACATTTATTATTAAGCTATGGACGTTACTGCTACTTTTCTATGCAATGTTTTGTTTTTCTCTAGAGTTGGTAATTGCTGCAGCTTTTTAAAAATTTGTTTGGTTTTTTATATACTTATTACTAATGTTTCTTACACTCTCCTCCAGGTTTGTAATCTCTCTTTCTTTTTGGGGGTATGTGGAATTGAACCTAGCAGTGCTTATCCACTGAGTCACATCCCCAGCCTTTTTTTATATTTTATTTAGAGACGGGGGTCTCGATGTGTTGCTTAGGGACTTGCTGCTGATGCTGGCTTTGAAAATTCAATCCTCCTGCCTCAGCGTCCTGAGCTGCTGGGGTTACAGGCGTGTGCAATTGCATGCAGCTCCTTTGAATATATCCAAACATACTGGATAGTTTTATCAATTAGGCATTAATTAATATATATAATTTTATTTTTAATTTTCTCTTTCCATATTTTTTTATCGGTACATTAAAATTGTACATAATAATGGGATTTGTTGTTACATATTTGTACATGCACACAATATAACAACATAATTTGGCCAATATCACTCCCCAGCACTTCACTTCTCCCTCTCCACTGATTCCTTTCCTTTAGCAATCTCCCTTTGATTTTCATAAGATCTCTGCTCCCAGCCCCCAAACCTTTCTTTTGTTATTCCTCTTTAGCTTCTGTGTGAAAGAAAATATACAATCCTTGACCTTCTGAGTTTGGCTAATTTCACTTAACATAATGGACTCTAGTTCCATCCATTTCCTGCAAGTGACATAATTTTATTTATCTTTATGGCTGAAGAACATTCAATTGTGTATAAATACCACATTTTCTTTATCCTTTCATCTACTAATGGACACCTAGTCTGTTTCTACAGTGTGGCTATTGTGAATTATGCTGCTGTAAACATGGTATACATATGTCACTATAGTATTTTGACTTTAATTCATTAGAATAAATAAATAGAGAGGAATGGTGTAACTAGGTCAAATGGTGGTTCTGTGCCTGCTCTTTTGAGGAACCACCATACTGTCAATCAGGTATTTTATCATAGTTTCTGGGAGCCTCCTAACCTGCTTTGATCTAAACACCTTTCCTTTTTATTTGCTACAGCATAATCATATACTAGAATTTATATTCCATTATTTTCGTATAGTAATTTTCTTAACCTGTCCTCTTTTCATAAATTGTTTTTTCAGTTTTAAAAGAAAAATGTTAGGGCTACATATGTAGGTCAGTGGTAGAGAGATTGCCTGACCTATGTTTGATCCCTAGCACAACAAAAATATCAGCATTTTTATGTACATTTTAAAATTCTGTAAGGCATATTTGTAAGTTTAAAAAATACTTCCGACTATTTTGGCAAAAGAAGTTTATTTCATAACTTGATTAAAAAGTCTTGCCTTATTCAAACTTATTTAAATATCAGTTTACATAACAAAACATTGTATGTTATGATATGTATATCTGAATATTTGTTTATATATAGAAAAATATATAGTGTTACCAAGTTTTAAAATAAATGCTTTCACTATATACTGATTAAGTGCAGAACATTGTGCTAAACACTTTAAATATAATACAATGTCTCATATAATCCTAACAATCTAAGAAATGTGAACATAGGGGCTTGAGGAAATAAGTAACTTGTTCTAGGTCACATGCAAAACATTATGGCTGCTGCTGGAATCTATGTTCTGAATCCAAACCCATCTGCTAATCACTGGATGTGCTGCCAGTTTTGAAAAGTGATCCTTTCCCTCTGAGAACCCTAGGAACAATTGTACCCTCAGGTGAAAGGTATCAACATTTCAAGATGGCAGCATATGCATGTTATATGTCAAGACTATCTGTGTGTCCCCATCCCCCCCCAAAGAAATCTCTAAAAGCAACAAAAGGAGTAATGGCCTTTAAATTTGAACCTTGTAGACAAAATTATTGTGGTTTGTCATGAAACAAATTCTAGGTGCTCTCTCATTTTCCTTTCAACTTCTGTGTCAATTAACCACTATCTCC